GAAATTAATTGCATTCAAGCCAGACTTGCATGCTGCCATCCCACAGGAAATGGGTCAGCAATCCATTAAGATGCCATTAGATAATCTAATTTGGAACTTAATCTCTAAATTAACCATGCTCCATACTTGAAACATACTTGAGAGAAAGAAAAAAAGTTTATGTTTGAATCGATAGGGGAGCTGAAGCGTGAAGAAGGCTGTTTGTTTTTTCTGTAGCTGTGGTCACGTCTCAAGCCGTCTGGTAACCAGGAGAAACCAGACATGATGTAATTCCAGATTGAACTTGAACTTCAGGGATTTAGAATGAGGGAACAATGGACCATAGGAATCAATAATGTCCATTTTCCACATGATTATGTTTGGAGCTTTAAGTTAACCTTTATGGGAGAAGCAGTAAGAACTGCAGTGTGACCAAAATGAATGAGATGATCCAGAAGAAAGATGTTAGTAAAGAAAACAACTTCAGTGATATTTTCTGAGCAGCACTGCAGATTCCAGCAGGATTAGAAAAGTTCCCGCTTTGCAGTGAACTGGTTGCCTGTTCTGAGCACTCTTTGTTCACTTAGGTAGGACAAATTTAATCTTACGTTTCCTGTCAGACGAGTTTTGGCAGCACTGCTAGGGAGGGTGGAGCATATTATAGAGAATTCCCAAGTGTAAACTGTATCTTTAAACCCTTGATTACTCCAGTTTTCTACTTCTTGATTATCTTAACTCCAATTGTTTCTTTTGAAGCAGTAAAACTACACTATTGTGGGGTTTTTTTGTTTGTGGCTTTTTTTTTTTTTTTTTTCTGATGGGTTTTGTTTGTTTGAGGTTTTTGGTGCAGTTAAGATTATCTGCATTATTGTTTAGTCATGCTAATTTTATAAAGTTTTAATAATATTTTTTTTTAAGTGCTAAGGTATAAAACCTAACAGATTAAAATTAGAAATGGTAATATTTGGGGAAAAAAGCAGTGTAGATGTGGAAAGTGGAGTCAGTTTTTCATAGGTGACTGAGTGGTCTCTGGTAACCTGATCCCACGTTCTCTGTGGTTTGGCAGCCCGCCACTTGGTCATAGCCTCCTTTGTGCACGTGCATGTTTGCAAACCTCCTTTAGCCCTGTCCCTGCAGCAAACATTCATGCATGGTCCAGAACACAGCATGAACATGCACTGTTTCTCCGGGCCCTTCTCCTGCTCTGCTTCTTCTGTGTTAGTGAGGGGCTCTGTGGCCTCTTCATCTTTCCTTACCTGTTTTTTGTTACACTAGCACAAAAAGGGGTCTGTGTGGAACAGAATAAGTATTCTTACAGCAGAATTCCATTTTCCCTCCTCTAGGCATAAATCAGTAGGTCTTTACCTCCTCCATCTGCTAGATGGGTGGTATGTGAACACTTACCTATAAAAGTCATCCTAAAGTAAGCTGAAGGCTAACGCAATTGTGTTTCCAAAGTTCTTAAGATCTTAACAATTTGAAATGGTGAAGTTCCCTGTGGTCAAGCACTTGCTTAGTACAGAGATAGACAAACCTTGCTTGGTGACTTGCTAGTGTCACTTCTCTTGACATTGAAGGCATTTCTGCTTTTCTGTCCAAAGACTGACCTGGCATGGTCTGATCTGAGCTAGTGCATGCATGCACAGGGCAGTAAAACTGCAAGGGGGAAATAACTGGTTTAGGTATACTTTCCCAATGATGAAATACTTTTACAGACTTCTGAAGCTGTAATAGAAAGAAGATATTAACTGGTGGAAGATGAGAATTTTAAAATCCTTCAGATTTACTCAGGTCTGATTGGATTTCTTTTTTATTGCATTTAGTTAATTGTTTAATATTATTATACCCTTTATGTTATTATAACCTCCAAAGTGGCCTGTATATACATATAATGTTAGTACTGCTTGTGGTCTATTCCAGTAATATCTTAATCAGAAGTTCTTGAAAACAGCAGTTATTATCTTTAAGAGGAAATCATGGCAGAAATCCTGATTGAATTAACATGTGAAAACTGTAATGGAAACTGTAATGGAGAATGTTAACCCTGTGGGATGCTTGCAGAATTTTCCTTTGCTATTTTTATTACATTTGAACAGATGAGTACCTTATACTTGCCATGGTTAGAGAGGGAACTGATGACTATATAACACACCTGATAGTCTAGTTATGTTGAGAGAAAACTGTTTCTGGTAGTGAAATGAGATATAAAGCTTCAGGAAGGTTGTCCTGCAAACCATACTCTCACAAAGGCTACTAGTCTGAATCTCACAGTACTATCTGATGGTGCTTGTCATGTAATTTTTTTTCAAAACTTAGACTAGAACAGGTTATTTGAGATCTCACTTCATATTCCAAGAGGTAGATATTTATAGTATAAACTCTGTCAGTGCAGGACTCACAGATTTGCTCAGGAGCAGTGAGCTGGAGAGTGGGGTAGACCTGCTTTATTCCACCCATACTTACTTTTTTTATCTGAAGGAACAGCCACATGAATAGAGGGACATCTCATTAACTTCTGCAAGGAGAACCAGATTGACAGTGTCCTGAGCAATGGAAAGAGTTTTGGCTTCCCCCATGTTGAGGCACTTACTGAACAGAGACAGAGCATTGCCATTGCTTTTGTGAAACTGAAGGCTAGAAGTTTACCTGGGACTTAATGCAAACTGCTGGATAGTGGTGAAGGGAAAGATGTTTTTCCCTTTCCTGCAGTTAGCACTCCTCCTGTGGGCACTAGGCAGGGTTTACTTTGCAGTCAGCAGTAACAGATGCTTTTACTAGGATGCTCTGCAGAGAAACTGCAGATGGCTTCCATGGCAGAAGCTAAACTGTGATGATCACAGACAGAGGTCCCTTCAGAGCAGGTTTGAGAAAGTTGACAGGGGACCTTGCTCTTCTGGGCTGTCAGTGTGGCATGACTGCATGCAGGAACACTGGGAAGCTACAAAACACAACGTGGCTCATATGGTAGCTGAAAGTTCAGTTAAATTTACTATAAATGTAATGGAGGTATGTGGGAATAGTGGGAATGTGGGAATATGTGGATAGACAGCCATGCATATGCAGCTTTGCAGAGCCCGAGTTATTTTTTTTGTTATTTTTTGCATCATAGCTGTTCTCAGAGCTTTGTGCTGTGATTACTGCTATTCACCTCAGTAAGTTTTATTCAGGTTTCCTCTTTTGTGTGCAGTAAACATTTGGTGGTGGTATTAGGAGTGAGGTGGCCCAAGAGAGAGTTACATTCAATTGCAGTATGATAAGGTTAATTTCTAAAATACAAGTGGATCTCGTCAAGCTTTGAAGATCATGGTTTATGAAATGTTAGCAAACAGAGGGGATGGATGGCCTGTCCTACCCGGCTGAAAGCAGGGCCAGCTGCTGCCCAGCGGGTGTGCATAGATCATGGGCTTCAGCCCACCTTCAGAGGTGTCAGAGTGATGGCTTTTCCAGGGCCACATCCAGATGGTGTATAGCTGTCCTGGTACCACAGGAGCTCCGTTGCCGGCACCACCATCTCTGGTGCTGTGCAAGCAGCACAAGAAGCTTCTGAAATTCCTGTGGGATCCACACAGTATTAACATGGGACATTTATTACTCCACGAGGATTCATAAACATCATTGATGAATTTGTTGCAATCCACATTTTTGTCATGGTCATAATGTAAGGTGGGAGGCTTGAAAGGTTTACATAAACAACTGTATTAAATTTATAGGTCATATGGAATATAAAAAAAGTCCTATTAGTCACTTGGTACAATTTATTTTTATTGAGCACTTTCCACAAAATCAAGATGTCTGTTTACCTATATGAAGTAGTAGATAGGGAAGCTTATTGACCTAATCCAAATGTGTATTCCCAGGTACACTGCTGTGTTTGTGGAAATATCTAGTGTGGAGAAGAACTTGATACAATGAAATACAGAGGAAGTGTTGGTTTGAATGCTGTGCATTAAGTTCTGGTCTTGGTTGTTTGGCAATGATTGCTGACATAATGATGCTGTTTTTCTTCTGAATAAATTTGACAAGCCTTTCCCTGAAGTCCATTATTTCTGGGTTGCCAGAAATACATCTGAGGAAAAGGCTGCTCAGGATCTGGTATGGGTACTGAATAGAGGCAGCTGAGGTCTTTTAGTATCCATCTTGCAAATACTGTTCGGTATGGTACCTACTACTGATTGGTGCCTGGTAAACATGTGAATGCCATTGGGACTTAAGCTTCTCAGTGACAGAGAACTTTTGAAACAATTACTTAAGTTCCAAAGTCATTGCACTGCCTTTGAAAATATTTTCTTTCTCAGATGTTTGTTGAAAAATTTATGGTACTTGCTGCTATGCTTGACTCATGGCTACCTTTGGCTGCAAGTGTTTACATGACTGGGCCTTGTGTTATCCAATGATCTGTAGGCACTGGTACATTTTGGGAAAAATCTGTAAAGAAAGTAGATTTTTTGAATATTAAAGGTCCTCATTGGGACCTGCACACCTCAGAGGCACCTCTCGGAACTGAGACAAGATAAACTGCCAGGCTGTAAAATATTAGGAAATCACACAGGAACTTAACCAGTGAACTTTTATATTGTGTTCTTGAAAAGAGCAAACCTGTACACTGTAGTGTATTTCAGTAGTGCTCTTGAACAACATCTGTAGTGCCATATAGTGTCACTTGTACAGTTTAGTTGTGTCTGCTCTATATATTTGTGTCTGAAATTTTTGGGGGCTTTCATATACAGGTCACTTAGTGTAAGACAGCAGTAATACTGCTTGCAACTGAGATCAGCACAATTATTTTTCTTTCAAAGAAGTAATATTTTCAGAAAGAAAACTGTGAAGTAGAACCTCAAGTAATTTTCACATACTTGGTTTCTTATTTTATCTTGAGTAGTGCTATTAATAATGAATATTAGCTTAACCTTGATTCAAAATCATTGTGTTCTAGTTTTTGCAACCTGTTTAATTTATGTTTTTTGTTTTTTGTTTTTTTTCCCCTCTCTCTCTCTCCCCTTATCCCTTCCCCTTTTCAACAGTCCTGGTACCTGGGCTAGCTTGGTTCCTTTTCAAGTATCAAATAGGACACCGATCCTGCCGACAAATGTCCCAAATTATGGTTTGAACATAATTGGAGAGCCTTTCCTTCAAGCAGAAACAAGCAACTGAAGGAAAAAAATAATAAAAAAAGCAAAATTAAAAAAGGAAAAAAGAAAGGAAGACAGGACAAGAAAAGAAACTGAAGAAAGAAGAAAAAATAGACCAGCAATTGCAGCTCTTACAATCACTAATTTCCTTATGGTTGAAACTGAAATGACGTACAAAGGGTATATGGTATTTCACTGATGGGTAGAGTGCAGCCCCTGCTAAGTAGCCTTTGTTATATGAAGTCCGCTGGGAAATAGATGTTCTGTCTCTGACAATATATTTTAACTGACTTTCTAGATGCCTTAATATTTGCATGATAAGCTAGTTTTATTGGTTTAGTATTCTTGTTGTTTACGCATGGGATCACTATTCCTGGTTATCTCACAAAACAAAGGCTAGGCAGCAGCAACAGAGCTGCAGGAGGATACGGGCCGTGAGCCAGCCATTTTCTCAACACTCTGATTTCTAAATGTTTTAAAAATAAGCTTTGTAGCCTTTAGTTGTCAGTATGGATTTATTAAACTTTGGCCCTTAATTCAGCCTTTTCTAGTGTGTTATGCAGTTGAAGTTTTCAATCAGTATGAACACACAGGCTCTATGGAAGAAATGCCTCTACGTAGGTTAAAGTGTTATTTCCTCATGCAACAGTAAAAAAGAAAAGGAAAAAAGTGAACATTTTCCCCACTAAAGAAACACTTACAGAGGCAAGTGCAATTTAAAAATCATATCTAGGGGTCATCACTATAAGTCCTTCAGCCCTTGGACTCTAAATTGAGGGGATTAAAAATAAAAATTAAAATTGCTTTGAACAAACTTTTTTTTTCCCCTCAGTTTTTGAGGGCATTAAAAGGCATTAAATCAAGACAAATCATGTCCTTGAGAAAAAGAAATCAATAGAAACACAGCACTTATGTTCGTTTAGCTGCTGCCTCTACAGAGGGGTAGGATTTATTTATTTAAAGTTACTGGTTGCATCAATAACCCATAGGGTTTATATGTTTCTGTAAAATCTGCATCATAGAGACAAAGAGATAGGCAAATCCATGTCACAAGGGCAAAGCTTACCGTTTACAAACTGGTAATACCAGGATGGGGATATGTTATATTTAAATAATGCACTCTTAATGTAAGTCTAATTACAGGGTGCTGAAAACTTGCATGGTGCTTTCAGAAGTTAGCCTTGTTCAACAATTCTCACATATTGACAGAAATATAACGTGCATGGGCAGACATTTTGCCTCTATGTCTCTTTAAAAAAAAGAATTAAAATACTCTTTCCAGTAATCCTAATTTGCACGAAGATATAATGTCCACATTACGTGCCTTGCCTTGAAATCTAAAAAATGGAGAAAAAAAAAAAAAAAAAAAAAAACCACAAAAAAATTGACATCACTACACTTGTTTTGCTGCATTTATTATAATTTTAAATCTTTACCATTTTTATGACAAAATATTTTGTACTCCAGATAGGAAAAAAGTGTGACATCATGGATTTTTTAGACAGTTATACCTTTATCTCACATTTATAAAGCATATCATGGCTGTGTATAGTTGCCGCTTAAAAATTGTAATCGACCAGCAATATTTTCAGTATTTTGGTGTTTTTTCTATTAACCTTTCATGTTTTTCATCTTCCAATTAATATTGGGGGGAGGGGATACAAATTTATACGAATTATGCAATACCAAGTTTTGCCTATGTAGGTAGTGCTTTTAGCTGTATTGGTTATTATAGGTAAGTACACAGATTTAAAGGAAAAAAAAATAATAATGTATGCTTTTTTTGTTTGTTTTAATTGACCAAAGTGGGTACTGCTATTTTTGCAGTGTGATGAGGTCCTTTTCTGTACTGAGAGGTGGACAGGGGATTTTTTTTTATACATACATATATATATATTCTGGGGTGGGGTGGGGAGGATTTTTAACACTTTACAGTGTAGCTGTGAAGCAGTGCACCCTTAGCCAGGCAAGGGCTGCAAAGCGACTGTTCTGCCTACTGTGACAAACTTTCAAATCGGTTCCCTCTTTTTAACTTCCCACCTGGGGTGCAAGCTGAAATCATTTCTGGATTTAAAAAATAAATAATGAATTCTGTTGGAGGCAGACTTGACTTGAGGAAATTGTTTTGGTTTGTTTTGTTTTTTCTTGAGAAAGAGAGAGAGACACACACAGACAGAGAAAGAAAGAGGTCAAGACCCACAGTGAGATGAAGCCTTTTCCATTCTGGCAAAGATACTGCATCCTAAAGCATTCACGTTAGAAAATGGTTTTAGCTCAGAGTGACAAAGACACTTGCTTTGTCTAAGAAATGCATGTACAGGGCCAAAATGTTTGCTGGCATAATTCCACTGACTCCAGTTGACTCAGGAGTTGCTCCTGCAGAGAATTTGCCTCCCTTAGTCTGCTTGACTGGTAAACCTTTTTTTTTCTCTACTTTGAAACATTCTCCCCCCCCCCCCCCCCCCCCCCCCCCCCCCCCCCCCCCCC